ACTTTCTGGGTTTGTCACTTTCCATCTTTTTTCTTGTAGTTTCTTTTTTGTTTTATTATCTCTTTTTACCTTTCTTTGCCCATTATTGTTGAATTCTTCCGTGGTATTCTGTCCTTTTCTCCCCCATCGTCTCCATCTTTTGCCTCCTTCTACGATATTGCACCTCTTCTTTCTTACCGTTTTTTAGTCTTCTTTGTAATTCTCTAGATCTTCATTTGTCCGTATTGCTGTAGCCCCACGCAGGGCGCCAAATAAATACTTCTCTGGGTAACTGTATGCGGTCAACTACACCACCAACCTGTCCAGCTAGCTCACACATCAAAATTGAAACTTACAAATCTTTATGATCTCTCCTCGTACTTTTCCGGTATCTGTCACAAAGAAAAATGCCAATACTAATAATTTAGGAGACAGTATCCTAGATCAACTTGCGAAAATTCCAAACGTTTAACTACGCATATTTTCAATAACACTTGACACAATTCTTGGACACGAGAAGGAAAATCTGATATGAAAAATCTATCCGGGTCGCACAATGGGTTCGAATAAACAGACCCCCTGGTGTTCATTCTTTGGAACCCTCGTGCATGAAATATCTTTACAAAAGGAAATTTGATGGCACTCCCTTAAAAATAATCAAACGCATGTGGATTTTTGTAAATATTTTGGGGGAAAACATAACACCGTGGGATGGGTATGGATACCTCCCAGTACACAGGAGAAATCAATTACCTTTTGCCTAAAACTATCATGGAAATTTCTTTCTAGAAAGGATTATCAAACCTGTCTTTCTTAGGGGGTATTCCATACTCCCACACCCTCCGGTAGTACGCTATCCCCCAAATAGTTCATTTCATAGAACTCTCGTGTATGAAATGTCTTCAGAGAGGGAAAATTTGATGGTACTCCCTACAAAACAATGGAATGCATGCAGATTTTTGTAAACAAAATTCCTGAAAGAAAGAAAATTTTGTAAAGCTTGTTTCGGCAAATTACCCCGCACGCAGGCGTTCGCCAACAGAACAAAAACAACATAATTTGAAAATCAAGACGTATATTTTTCTTCAACCGTAAACAATGGGATGATTTATGCTTCCGTCCGTACTCGACATGGCGGCGCCTGCAATGTATATTCCGATATTTCATCCATTACGCAATTCACCATTCTCAGCGATTTATCCTTGCGTGAAACCTGACGTTCGGTTAAGGAAATACATCTATCTACTAACGCCTCAGTCATATACGACGCACTTGCTATTAACTTTTCTCTGTCGAATTTCTCGTCCTCCCTGCAACACCCCAGGGCGACGTACAGGCATTCGAAGTAGCGCTTGACGTCGTCTTCGGCTGAACCGCCCCAACGAGCAGAATAGACGCGAGTACTGCGAGAGTGTTCATTGTCATCGAGCGAGTAATTTTTGACTGCAATTTTATGTAAAGCGGAATAATCGCTGACCTAGTATCAAGGTCGATGAGATTATTTTCGTGGAGGACAAAAATAAAATGCTATCGGTAACCTTGCGAGGCCCGCTACATGGTTGGAACCCAAAAATATGTACCAATTCTGTCCGGGAGAAGCTCCTGAAGGAACAACAAGCTCAGGTCCAGCTAATGGAGGGGAAAGATTACTGGCTACTCCCCCCCCCCCCCAATTATGGACTAGCCGATCTCTAAACGATAATTTCTTGTACGGAGTATCTACAACGTGCTCCTTTGATATTGATACAATAATTTCTAATGGAGAAATTTATTTTAGGGGAGCCGTTTGTCAACAAATTTTGAACTTTGCGTTTCTGTGATCCTGATAAACCAAGTTTCTCTAAAAGAACACCTCATATTATGCTATCCTCATGTGTACTTTCCTATTACAAAGTGTTGACTAGCAGAGACACAGAGCTACAGACATTTATTATGTTCCCTTGATACAAACCTCTTTTCCAGAAACCTCGGAATCATTTTGGAAATTTTCCAATCACACAATATTCATAGATATACACCTTCCTTATCCTGTTCTCTTCTAAGCTTCAGAAGCTATTGTGTTAGGACCAGAGTTGGACTGGGTCAAGCATAGAGTGACCCAGTGACCCAGTGACCCGGTGACCCAGTTTGACCCGGTGACCCAGCTTGACCCAGTTTGACCCAGTGACCCAGCTTGACCCGGTGACCCAGCTTGACCCGGTGACCCAGTTTGACCCGGTGACCCAGCTTGACCCGGTGACCCAGCTTGACCCAGTGACCCATCTTGACCCAGCTCTACTCAGTGACCCGTCTTGACCCGGTGGCCCAGTAATTAAATTATTGTTAGGTATCATCCAAAACAATTTCAAGTAACTTTTAATTTAAAAAAAAAACTTCCTCAATAATATTCGGCAACAAGCACTTAGCCCAATTTCATTCAAGAGAACTAATACCTAAAAAATCAAATGCATTTGTTTATAGTTTGTAGTCAAGTAGTCAATGAAAGTATTTAGAGAAAAGATTTATTTGGATTAAGCTAACTAGTAGAAAAAAATTAAATGTGAATGAACACCTGTAAGCAAATTGGTAAGCCCTGAAGCAAAGAAATAACATTATTCTAATACAATTCGGGACATGGAAAGCTTTTTACGGCAGTATTAAAGCAAACATCACAGAAATGGCAGTTGTCAAGCAATCGAGTATTATTTTCAACAAACCAGCATTTCATTTATTTCATAATCTGTATACTTGAACCGAGGGCACTGACTTAACTGCGTTATTCGATCAAACTAGGTGACTGGGTCGAATTGGGTCCCCGGGTGAAATTGGGTCGCTGGGTCAAACTGGGTCAAGTTGGGTCACTGGGTCAAACTGGGTCACTGGGTCTAACTGAAAAGAGTATGACGTGACCCAGCGACCCAGTGACCCAGTTTAATTTAGTGACCCAGTTGACCCAGTGACCCAGTCCAACTCTGGTTAGGACCACAACGGCGTACAGATTTCGTTGACAAACGCCTTCTCGGGTATTATATTCTCCTGATATAAGATCTACAATTTACTGTTCCGTCCTACTATGCTCTCACAGAATTACGCAGACGTAACCACATGTAAAATTCATCAGCGGGCATCTTCCTATGTATTATGTTTTCCTGATGTAAACTTAACTTTTGGGAATGATATTTCCGTGTCACCAAAACGTAAAGTACCAGGCACGTCTTCAGGTATTACTTAAGACCTTCTGCAGGCTCACCCTGTAATTGGATGCAAGGGCCCAGAAAAAGAAGAATACTAAATAATAAATAATAAATAATAAATAATAAATAATAAATAATAAATAATAAATAATAAATAATAAATAATAAATAATAAATAATAAATAATAAATAATAAATAATAAATAATAAATAATAAATTATGCGATCCTGTAAGTGACGCCGTAACAGCTGTAAACTGCAGATCTTTCGAGAAACGAAGAAAACACCTTAGTGGAACTCGAACCTTGAACGGGTTCGTACGGCTCATTTTAGCGCATGATGAAAGGTACGATGTAGTAGAAAAAACCTGTTAAAAAACGTAACTTTTGAAAACGTTAAGTTAGCCCCCCCCACTTTTTCAAAATTTTTCATGGCTTAACCGTAATGGCGCTAGCTTTAATTCAAGTGGCGCAATTGAGCGCATAACCAAATGTATCAGGTGACCTAGTTACAAGCGACAAAATACATACGGGGGGGGGGGGGGGGGGGGCTACGTTCACTTGCCCCCCCCCCCCATTGTTTTTGCGGATGTCTAAAAAAGATAATGGCGCAAGAGTTATTATCGGTGGCGCATATGAGCGCATAACGAGCGCATTCATTTTATAAAATACGACTATTTAAGGCAAGTTAACGGACCCGTTGAGGTGAATTTTTCATCTGTGGCAGAGATGGGAATTACCCCTGGAATTACCTTAGACCAGTTTCGAGCATTCTGCCGGCTACTCCGAATTAGGTTTTCCTGCAGTTTTCCTAATTCGTAAGGTAAATAACGGAGTAGTATAGAACAACTTAAGACCTTCTGCAGGGACACCTCTAAACAGCATTATGCGGGCCACTCTGTAATTGGGCGCAAGCCTGTTGAGGGTCCAGAACAAGAGAAGGATAATATGTGGTCGGTCTGCCACTGTGACGTCCTGATCAGCACTTGGCCACAGTTATCTGAAATCACGGAGCAACAACTTAGGATTAACAGGGTCCTATCTTTCATGGAAAAACGGGCTTTGAATCTACGAGTAGTTGCGAAAGAAAATGGGTATGCACAATGGACCTTTAGTGTGCCTAAGTGCTGCCTGGTTTCTTCTTAGAAAACAAATCAAAAGCCACAGAAATGCGAGGAACAAACATTTCTTTTTTCTATTTGTAACGGGACCTCTAAATGCAAAACAAACGGGTAAAGGTGACTACACCTCCCGTTCACATGTTCTCTTGTTCTGCAGAAGAGTGAAACAGGATTGTAGAGACGCGGGGAAAGTAAAATTTATTCAAAGATCCCCATGATACAAATTTCAGCTTTGTAAAGAGGCTGTAGAGGATCACAAAAACGCTAGGAAATGCAAAATTTGTTGAAACACAGCTCTCCTAGATAAACTCCTCTCTTAGAGGACGACCAAACATTATGTTCTCCCGGTCCAAGCATCATCTTTATAAAAGTGAATAAGAACGTCCAAAGGGGAGCCGTTATTTTTTCTCCTTTACATTATGGATCTACACCAACCAACATTCCTCGTGAGATGCGTATGTAAATGGTGTAGCAACAATTTCATAGGTCTCAAAAACCGAGAAAATCACTAGGCGCCTTCGTTAGGACAATCCCGAGTACCTACCTATGTACCTACAGTCAGTTCTAAAATTAATACCAACCAACATTCGAGTAGGTACCATTGGAAAGTGCTCACTTTGGTGATTGGTCTCTGACACAATCAGTTTTTTATTTACGAATTATTCAATAACGTTTGTAAGCAATTTTTGTGCAAGTATAAATAAATATTATTGTAGCAATAAAGTATTACCGACATACAAAGGTCCAACTTGTGAAAACATCAATAACCTCATCGCACTTCGTATAAATAGTTCGGATCGCAAACGTTACGAGTTAATAGAACAAGTAGTGATGAAATCCCTCTTCGTGATCGTCTTCCTTCTTGGTGGAGGAGCGTTGGCGAAATACGTAAGTATCCGTCAATGGTGATCTTCTAATTGTTGCTTTAGTTTCCGCAGGAAATCTTGGATATTTGGAACAAAATCGCAGACCCTTATAGTACAGAATGCGCGTTACAAGCTGGAGTAACAAAGGACTATGTGAGGGAGGAGTTGTTAAAGGGGTCCGTTCCCGATAGTCTGCAGTTTAAAAATTACTTCGTTTGCATCTACGAACACTTGGAGCTGTTCGATACGGATGGAGAATTTAGCAAGCAGAGGATACATAAGCTGGTACCCTACATGAGCGTACCCTTTACGGAGGTGTGCGTTACCGAGTCCAAGAAAGGAAGGGATCGCTTGGAAAAGTCGTATCTCATGCTTGGATGTGTTGTGAACGGCCTTAGTAATGATGACTGAAGCTTGTGTTATCACACCTGTTTTTCATAACTGTCTTTTTATTATTAAATTTTGAGTACAATATTTCCAGACTGTGAGTTCAAAAAAGACTCCTATTGTTGTTGCGCATTGAACGCCCCTATTATGAGGCCCGGGTATTTTCCGCTCTTTTGTTCTATTATTTCGCTCAGATTCCTGAGTTCATCTTGTCCTCTTTTCTCCGAGAGGATGTGGCATTCTGATTTGGGCCGTCTCGCTTGTTTCTTGAAATTTCTCAACCTCAGTGGCTCGGTGTTTCCTGATTACGATTACTGTAACCGTGCTGGTTTTCTCCTTGTTCCCTCCCCCTATCCACCAGACGTAGTTCCTTGTCGCGGCCATCTCACTTGTTAGTTTGGTTTCATGTAGGCATCTATTCCCTGTTTTCTTAATTCGTCGCCCTCCCTTTTCTTTGGGTCGCTTGCCCCTTGTACGTTCCACGTGGGTACCCTCATGTTGTTGTCTCCTTCTGCATCCTGGCTCCTTCCGGATACCACGCCTATATTCTTAAGGGACGGCGCCTCCTCTCGCTTCCTCGTATTTCCCCAGCACCCCTGTTCCCCGGTGTTCCACCTCTTCTATCTCCACTATCATGTTTACTGCCCTCACCACGCTGTCGTAGTTATTCCGGACATTGTTGCTCCCTAGTCTGTATGCTATGTAACAATGTACGTTTGATTTCTTTACTAATCCTGATACAAATTCTTTTTTAAATACTATTATACCAGGATTGCAGAGACATAAGTAGGTGCAAAAGAGTGGTTGACAGGCACACCTTTTCGCGGATTATCCTTTCTTAGTAAATTCCCAATTTCAAAACGTTTGTATGAGGATTGCAGAGAAAGAAGAGGTAAAACGCGCCGTTCTATTTTAAGAAATTTTCCACTTATGATGTTGTATCGGAATCACTTTGACAAGAAGCAGTACAAAACCTATTTATAGACAATACAATTGACACAAAACGTCTCTATCAAAAATTCTAACAGGATCGCAGATTTATCTACTAAACTTCATTGTTTCACGTTCATAGACAGTCAGATCAATTCAAAATTACTTGATCTGCTGTATTATGTTCTTCTGGTAATTTTATCATGTATGGCAAGCGCCTTCCTTTAAAACAGGACCACAGAAAGGGACAGAAATAGGGAAAGTGGAAACACGTCCTTATGCTTATGTTTTTGGATTCTCTTTGAAAATCCTTGTAAACGCGATAGGTGGCCCTGTGGTCCCAATCGTTGAATTAGGATCACAGAAATACAAACAGGTGAAATAAAAATGTAGAAACACCGTTTAATAAATTCTTTTGTACACTCAGTATCTGAAGATTTTATGTTCTCTTTACATCGCGTCTCTCATTTAATTTACTGTTAATCTTCAATCCATCAGGATTACAGAAATGTAAGGTAGCAAAAAATTTATTCGGACACCCTCTATTATGTTTTTCTAAAATGCGTTGTATCAGGTTCACAGGAATGCCATAAGCGCAACATATAAACAAAGTAGCCATACATTATGATGCGCTTATGGCATTCCTGTGAACCTGATACAACGCATTTTAGAAAACATCTCTCTCGGGTATCATGTTCTTCTGATACAAACTTCTCTTTCGGAAACTGTGCCGTATTGATAGAGACACTAGGAGACAACATTTATTGACATACAGATTCTATTGCGTTATGCGCTCCTGGTCGTCTCCGACGTAACGCCGCTTTATTTAGGTTACAACACTTAGCCTAAGCATAACTCTTCTTGTTTATTTGAGACTTAATCAATGGCGAGTGCGTTTATGAGGCAATTGGCCAGGGCAAGCGACTTATCCACGCGCAAAACTTCACGTTCTGTTAAGGGCATACATTCATCCACTAACGCCTCCGTCATATACGACGCTAGACCTATCACTTTTTCTCTGCTGAATTCACCGTTCTCGAGGAAAAGGTCCATGGCGACGTAGAGACAATCGAAGTACTGTTTAACGTTCGCTTCGTCGGGGACAAACGCCGTAATAACAACATCCTTTGCGTATCCGGGGGTGATGCCAGCCTCCACCAAGCAGTTTGGATAGTAGGGTTCAATCAGCTGGAAAAAAATGTCGTACGTTTCTTGCGTTACCTGGAACGCTAGCGTGTGAGGTCATTAGATGGATACAGAGAAACTTACCCTTCTCGACTGAACTGCCCCCACCAGCAAAATAGCCACGAATAGTGTGTGTGTGTTCATCTCTTGGCGACTGATAGGACTTGGGTGTTCAATCTACAGTCCTCAAAATAGGCCTGTGTCAAAGTACATAAGATTATTTCCCTCCAAACATAAAAACAAAAGCTATCGGTGACCTTTTCACACAAAAGGTTTTTCTGATTCTCCAATAAAGAAACATTGTATCAAGACGCAGCGAAATACAAAAACTTCCCATTAATTACCCGATGCAGGTCGCAATAGGGTAAAAATGTCCAAAATTGACTGACCTCGCGTATTATGTTTATTGCAAATGACACAGAATTTATTTCTATTTGTTGTATTTAATTTGTATGACTTAGGGAACATTTAATCGACATTTTTACGACTTTAATGTTTTATATGGTCAGCTGTTGATAAAAAGTTGTTATCGGACAAGAATTAATTGGTTTTTCGACTAACAATGTCACCTGCGAGATGAGCGATGCAGGTGTTCCAGTTCTGTGATGATTTTATTAGAGTAGGGGGTTTTTGCTTAAACAGGAAGAGTAAACGGGTTATTTTGAAAGAGAGAGAAATTGTCAGGGGAAAACCTCTTACCCTCGCACTTTTTTTTGCTATTTGAATCTCGCTCGGTAGCAATAATGAAACAGACCTTCGCTTCCGAAAGCAATCGTGGCAACCGCGCTGAACAAAATACAAATTCGAAGAAGATACTTTTTTAATCGCGCCTGTTACAATTTGAAGGAAGGAAAACCTTCAAACTGAATCAGTTCGAGGGTGTTGCTTTAAGCGTGAAAATTAAACTTGGGGTTAAAGCTTGAACGCTGAAATCCGAACCTGAAGTTAAAGGTGGAAGTTAACGTTTGAAGTTGAAGGTGATGTGTCTGTCGAATGAGACAAACTTATGCACTATTTGAGTTTGTTAAAATTAGTCACGCGGGTCAAGTTGTTGATATAAAAGGTCGAGGATACTTGTAATTTTGTAAATATTAGCTGACATCACATGCCACATATACTATTTATGTCGCGTTGAAATATCAAATTGATAACCCCATCGATCTGCGTATAAATAATTTGGGTGGCAAACGTTAGGAGTAGATAAACCAATGATGAAGTCCCTCTTTATAATCGTCTTCCTCTTTAGTGGAGGTGTGTGGGCAAAACGCGTGAGTATCCATTATACGTCAAGGGCGATCTTCTACGTGTTGTTTCAGCTACCGATGGAAATATACGATATTTGGTACAAAATCAGCGAGCCTTACGATACGGAGTGCGCTTTAGTAGCTGAGGTAGCAAAGGAGTATGTGAAGGAGCAACTGTTGAAGGGGTCGATTCCCGACAATGTACGTTTTAAAAGTTACCTCGTCTGCATCTACGAACGCTTGGAGCTTTTTGGTAATGATGGTAACTTTAACAAGCACAAAGTTCATAATGTGATACCTTACATGAGCGTACCCCTTACGGAAGTGTGCGCGACTGAGGCCATGAAAGGGAGGGATCGCTTGGAAAAGTCGTATCTTATGGGTTACTGTGCTGTGGACGGCCTTAGCGTTGATGATTGAAGCTTTTAAACTGTACTGTATTTTTAAGTGTTATCAGTGCTATTTTACATGTATTTTGATCAACATTTTCTCTTGTATTATATCCTTCTGATATAAATTTTTTGTTAAAGGCCCCACAAACGCAGAGGAATGCAACAATCCTTCATCTCGTGCATTATATTCTCCTAATACTTTTTTCAGTGTACCCGTATATCCCAAATCCTTTTGGATGTTTCAATTGCTAGAGATTTAGACATTCTGCAGTAAATTGTGAATACGATTTTTGTTGTATTGTACCGTATGGGACTCCCTAGGTACAGACGTTTTCAGGTCGCATCAACAACCGACTGTCGTGCTCTGACTTCCGGGACCGCCAGCTTTACATGCCCTCCGAAGCATGGTCGCCAGGAGATGTTCTGCACCGCTAAAAACTGGCAAGCTGTGGGATTCGAACTCAGAACCTGTGAGGTTAGAGTCCGAGTCTTAACCGTTACGAGGTGAGTATTCGTACCTAATCCATGGCTAATAAGGACCGTTAATAATTAACATGCTCCTGATGGTGCTAAGGCTTATTCGACAAATGGATTCGTGTATCAGGAGCATATGAATGACCACTCGCCTGTTACGTAAATGGAAAAAAATACCTCCTTTGTCATTGACCATACAAACAGGAAAGCTGATTAGCAGTTGATCTTACCCATACAGGCGTTCCTGGCACCTAGTTTTTACTATTTTATTTTCCTAATAACACTTTTTCGACAAATATATTCGCGTACCAGGAGCACATCAATGGTAGTGATACATGCTATTCCCATCGTCCGTTCTCCTGCCACCATACCATCTGAAATAGAAGGAACAGCTGCTATCATAACATACATGTGCTCCTGATACTGAATAATTAGGTACTAGTTTATTTTTCTCCGTGTATCAGGAGCAAAAAAAGTGAAAAAACACTTTTTTACGTTCGTTGTCACCAACGAATTCGAAAGAAAAAGCAATTTCATTAATAGCCAAACACGATGAACTTTGCTCTTCTTGGTGTATGCCAATACATTTTCCTAAACTTGCGTTTATGTGATCTTGATATCACAATTTAAAGGAATTTGTTTAACAACTTAATAGATTTTTTGGATAATGCACCGGAGTTCAATTAAATTATAAATTGATGGACAGCACCCCTGAGAACAGGAGCACATAACCCCCTAAAATTACTTTTTTGTGTCCAAACCATGGTAACAAGAGCGGCCAAATAATAGAATCGGGATTTACTTGCTTCTTATTTTCTCAAAGATTCATTAGGTGCACAGAAATGATCTTGTAAAGTATGGTCTTCGGCACTTGTTACGATTTGATGGGCTAATATCTAAGAACCGGGGCGCAGAAAGTCGTAAAAAGTCGCCTGATACCCAAACAATTCCGAAAGAGAAATGTCGGTAAACGCAGTAAGTGCGTGTGTAAAGGAGGCTATCGTATCGGGGACAAAGGACCTTATGTTCTCCTGGTAGCTAACCCTTTGTTTTTGGAAAATTCACTACCCTAAGAGCACCGAAATGCAACGGTTGGTTATACATTTTTGACTGATTTCTAATTTCAGGAGCGCGACTATCAATTTTTATACTCTCCTGATATCGCAAACCTTCTCAGAAATGAATAGTTACACTAGCACCATCCATACGTAGGGGCTCGTTCAGAGTGGATCAAGTAATATTTGAAACCAGGACGGCACAAAGAATCCTTGCTCTCCTGGAAATAGCTTTTTAAGCCCGGAATCATGAAAGAATCTCTCATCCTGACGCACAAAAAGTTACCAGGCGCAGAGGACTTAATCGGTTTGGATGTTCTCCTGATAAGCTGTCTAGAAAATTACCGGTTGCATTAGGAAGACTTAAGTGGAGGAGCCAGTTATGAATTGATAGAGAGTGATATATGAAAACAGGGGCGCATAGAAGTAGAAGACCTATGTTCGTTCTGGACCAGGAAGTGACGTCACACCAATCAGAGATGAGCTCGTGACGTCACAGCCAATCAGAGACGATCACGCCCTCCTAGGCCCCTCCCCTTGGCCAATGGGATACGGTAGACGTGGCCTTTAGAGTCCACCCCCTGTGGCGTCACAGCCATTGAGCGGTGTGGTTGGCTATTTAGTTGGGCGCCATTTTATTAGCCACCAAATCCGCCATATTGGATCGTTCGCCATGTTATTAGTCTCTAATTCCGCCATCTTGTTGGGCGCCATTTTATTAGTCACTAAATCCGCCATCTTGAATCGGCCGCCATTTTATTAGTCGCTAGTCACAAAGCAGGACCTTATGTACTCGCGATGTAGAAGTCATGGTAAAGAACAGCTCTCAATTAATGGAAAAATGGCTACTACTACGGATCTATCTAAATTGTTTTCTTGGTGTAAGTATCGTATTAGGCGCGTAAAGCCCTAAAAATACAAATGTATGCTCCCCTGATTATGATGACCGTTGCAAATATGTGAGTGAGTGAAATGTGATAAAAGAAGGATTATAGAAACATGAAAGAGGGATATCTGTGTTGCATTTATTACGCACAATAGACACAGACAGAAAAACCCTTAATGGAATTGTGGGTCTTTGTTTCCCGTTTGCGTGGTGAGCGGTTAATGGCCTGGGAAAGGATTCAGCGCCAGTCTGACGGGTGGTAACACAATATTAACACCGTTTACGTGACCAAAATGGCGAAATCAGGATTAGTTATGGTGATATCGTGGAGCATCGTAAGAAGCGCGAATTAAGCGATCAAATCAGGGTGGTGTTTTGATATTTGATACAGGGCCTTTATACGCATTTGATTGGGTAAGGAGACGAAGTCGATTGGTTAATCATTAAAGATGGCTGATTAAACCCATTAGCACTGTTTTGTAGGCGGTTTGGAAAATTAAAGAAGAGTAGGGTTGCCTACAGAAAAGAAAGCGGTACGGCATTCGGTTTTGGGCCACCAGAGCGTGGTTCGGAATAGTAGCTTTTTTGAAATTACGTTCACGTTCATTGAGCTATTAGGAGATTATACCGCTAGAGCGTGAACTTGTCTGAAATCAGACAGTTGAATCCCACAATCCCACATCGACACCAAATGCGAGGAGGACCCTACCAGGCTCCACCCCGTGGAAGAGCGTCCTTCATAGCATAGCCATCACCTTGGTTACTATAGGGACGCGCTTTTGAATTGTCAGGGCCTAAGACGGTCCTCTCCAACCAATCCAAGGTCCACAAGGCACCCTGTGGATTCCCCCCTCCTCTCCATCCCGTGGAAAACTGCATTTAATGCAGCCATAATCACCTTCGCCACTCCTATTCTTCTTGCCCACCACCAAGTCCTTGAATAGGGCCCTGCGTTGGAGCCGTTCCCGCTTTCGACGAGCCTGTCTCGTTATCAGACCCCTTTTGAGGGCCTGGGTTGTTGATCCCCTCTGACGGGAAGCTCAGAAAGGGTTTGTTTGAATAATAGTCCATACACGAGTAGTGCGGAAATGCGGTCTCGCCTGGACAGAACCGCTTGCCCAGGGCTAGGCTACCATCCAGAAGGGTGTTCGCCGGACTTCAATTCAGCGTTTGGCAGAATGGAAGGGGAAAAAGTATGAAAGATGATGGAACATGGGAAAATTGAGTTAAAGGATAGTATCAAGAAAAGATATTACAAAAGCGATAAATGGAGAGAGAGAGGAAAAGAGAAATGGGCACAAGAAGAAGAGAGAAAATGTGGAATGTATGGGAAGAAAAAAAGGGCATAGAACACATGTTATGGTTTACGGCAGTGAAAATGGCAGGAATAAGTAGGACTGGAAAATATAGGGAAAAGTATTTCTGGTATCTGGTCGGTAATGTACAGGAATGATTAATAATGATCGGATCAGAAATGCACGTACGACGAGAGAGAAGGATCTCGGGAGAAGTTTATGGACAAATACGAATCAAGTGGGGAACTAAGCATGGATTTAATTTCAAAAGAATGGGAACAGCAGATGACACCTAACGGAGGAATTTTACAACACTTACTAAAGAAAATGAAACAGGATCTGGAAGGAGTGGGGGGACTACGGCTATGACCAGTTTCAACCCTGTTTCGCAAGTAAAGTCAGTTTTTGAGGGGAGCAAAGGTCCGTTGAGCCTGCTGACACATTTGGGCCCTCCAACTCAACCTAAATATATCCTTAGTACTTCACATCCTTTTCGCTCCCGTTAAAGGTTCTTCTGATGAACGTACAAGGTTTCAATTGCGCAAAAAGGGTCAATCAAATATTGAAATATAATTAAAATCGGATTTCACTTGTCAGGCCATTTTTCAACAGGTGCGCAAGCTTTCGACGCGACCGCGCAATGAATCGATAATAAGTACTAATAATTAAGCGGACCCGAAGCAACAGTCTCCCCATTAAAATCTACAATTTCACATTTCCCAACAATGTGGCTTGCTAATTAAGTTTCGCAATCGGCGCTTCCCCGTAATTCTCAAATTTGGTCAATTCATTAAAGAGACAGATCCGGCACGAAATTAATAAGAAAAGTTTAGCTTAGCGCTCGCGACATCAATTTCTTTAATTGGGGGAGTCTTCGATTTTTGTATGAGCCCCTCGCAGCTCGTCCCTAATTACTAACTTCGCCACCCCACCTTCAAATCCGGCGAAAATTAGAACGGCACGCCGTGAATTCGGAAAGTTTAATTACGTGAATCGGGTAACCGATTACGGTCATAATTATAATCCCTTGCCCTTTTCGGCGCCACACACGCAGACACCTACACCGAAAAGTGGACAATGGCGACAGCATCACACATGTCCCGCAATACAAAGGAGAAGCGAAATGATTAACGAGGACCCGTGATTAATTACGAGGTAAAAATACTTCAACTTTGCCTTTCGGATAAGTTTTAGAATTTAGCTTCAATAATTAATTACACGTGCTTTCAGTGTGCGACGCTCTCATTTACGAATTTGTTTAGAATTTCCCTTTCGTTCCTGTTTAATTAAGCCGATTCTTTTATTTCGCGCCGGACTGCAAATGAAAGGGCCCATTGTTTGTATCACCTTTGTAAATCACCGCGCCGTGTGTTGTACAAAAGCCGGCCTCACCGGCCATTCGGACGATAAATCTT